TGTGACAGTGGGTCCTTCTGCACTTTCACAGCAGTGTTTTCCACTGCCTTGGAGGGCTCCACTTCAGGCTGCGACGTAAACAGAGATTTGGGTCGTACCAGGGTGTTTTTAGTAGCATCTCCCTCAGGAGGTAAGGAATACAGTTCTTCCACGCTGCAGGACTTGGGTCCAGACTGAGGTGTTTCTGGAGGAGACTGTGGAGGCTGGATGGATGCCACAATCTGTGAAAGCACCGTGCTTGCATTCTCTCTGCCACTGCTGCTGCCAACGGATCCCTCCGGTGTTACGTCTGGTTTTGCTGCAGGCTCTGGCGTTGCCTTCTGAACTCTTGATGGGGAGCTGTGGTCAGCACTGTGACTTCTCTGTGGTGATATCTGACTCTTACTGAGGCAGCTATTGAACTCTTGGACCTTCTGAGCCACAGAGCCCAACCTGCACTCAGAGCTGTTAGCCACCCCCTTCGCCTGGGACAGCTCAGGGGGTTTACTGCCTATGGCTTCGCTCGCTTTACTCTCTGTTTCTATTTCTTCATAGGTATGGCTTATCACACTAGTCGTTTTGTCTTTGATGGAGAGCTCCCCACTGGTCCCCAGGAAGCTTTTATAGATAGCCAAGTTGTCATAGGCATTTGGATTGATCACTATAGGAACCTTAATGGCGTTTTTGGAACTCTTGGCGTAGGTGGGCTCGTCGTGAATGATGATAGGGAAGGGTGGCATGCCAGCATTGTTGTAGCTGTTGAATTTGATCTCGGATAAATTGGGAGACTTAACTGGGACAGTTTTTGAAGAAACATTTGTAGCTGTAGGTGAAGTAGGAGCTGACTTGTGGCTTGTCTTCCTGGGAGGAACGGAAGGTCCTGAGCTGTTACCAATCAGCTCCACCTTAGGTATCTTCTGTCTTGGACTGGTACTAGAAGTCCACACTTCTTGATATCTGATTGCACTGGATTTTTTCAGGTTAGCATTTAGGCGTACAGGTGATGCCGCAGAGGATGCAATAGGTGTGCCTGGAGTTTGTGGTGAGCTTGGGGTAGATGCTGCTTTTTTGGTTTCTGAGGTTTCAGTCTGATTCTCCTTACATTCACTGGTCATGGCAGCTGAGACATCCACTACTGTATATGGCTTGCAAACTGGTTGTTCCATATTCACCACCCTGTAAGGTTTAGCTTGCTCCTCCACAGGCACTAAATTGATAGTCACGGCTTGACCAGCAACATCTGAAGAACTTTTGTTCTCTTGCTTATCAGTCTGCACAGCAATTTTGCCATCCTTCTCCTCCAGTCGAAGCGCAAGAACTGCCTTGTGAGTTTCTAGACTTTTTGGAACACTTCTGGGCGCTTTTGCCACATCCTTCACTTGTTGATTGTCACAAAGACTTTCATACTCTGGTTCAATCAATTTGAGGTCCTGAGGAGTGCTAGGAGATAACCCTCCATTACAGAGCTTCTGTGAAGAACTGCTGGCTGTTCCAGAACGAGACTCCTCTGTCAGAGAAGAATCAGGAGATGTGGAATCAGAAGACACCATGCTCTGCATGCTCTCTTGCCCGTAAAGAATCACAGACTCTTCCCCGTAGCCGTTTAGGATTTCGTCGTAACTGTCGTCGTAGTCCACTGCACAGATCCGCTGCAGAGACTTGTTCCTGAGGGGCACAGTGTTCCACTTTTTGTCCACACAGAAGGGAACGGGAGACAGGGTGTTAGCTCTGAAATTGGCAAAACGAGGTTGGCCCCTCATGCGAATTTCCATCGCTAGCAACTCTTCATCACTTTCATCCCAGCTCTCATGCTCTTCCTGCATGCTGCCAAAAAACGTGTCGTCCTCACTCTCATCCCCACTGGAGAACTCTGGGTAGCAGAAACGTCCACCTTCATTGCTTATTACTTCAGTGCTTCCACTCACAATGACATGCTTACTCTGCGGGTCCTTCAGTCCCCCCACCATGCAGCTCGGGGGGATCTTTCTCTCTAGCGACTTTTTGTAACAACTATTTATCCTCCCCAAAAAGGTTTCTCTGGAGTTAGTCTCATTTCCAGTGAGCTGAGGTGTGGTATCCAAACCTGCAATCTCCTTCAAAACCTCTGTCAGTCCATTATTATTGTTACTTGGCACCTTCCCTCCACCCTCGTTGCTGCCGTAAGGCCTCGGAACGTGGCTGTAACCTTCGATTTCATCTTCGTTGTTATTGTTCAGTGGTTTTTTGTTCAAGACAGCTTTGTTTCGGTTCCACCCCACAGGCATGGCTTTGTTCTCACACTGCTCCAGCGTGCTGATCTCGGCACACAGCCCCTGCCCATCCACCAGCATCATGGTGGGTTTCACAGCTATGGTGGGTTTCTTGGCCACGGGCGGTCGGAAGCTCCCGGTGTTTCTCCCCCGCTGGCTGCTGCTTTGGTTTGCATTGGGTTTCAGGTTTCCATGTGAGAGAGGCTTTTTTTCTGACACTGGGGGTAACTGATGCAAGCTCTTGGGCTTGAAGCAGTTCTTACATTCACCAGGTTTCCAGACGTGTTCAGTGAAAGTGTTGCAAGCAGACATCTTCCCAGAGCTCTGTGCTGCAGGCTGTGCTGGTCAGTGCATGGTAAGGATTTCATCCATATGCTTCCACTCTGTTCATGGAGTATGGTTACTTCTCTGAGCAGTGATCATGCTGGAAAAGAGAAGAGGAGGAGGATGAGAATGGGGAAAAACCTGGTTGATTGTTATTATTTTCTACGCTATGGACAACGTAGGGGAAAAACCTGGTTGATTGTTATTATCTTCTACGATATGGACAACTTAATATCACAGTATGTTAAAGGGTTGGAATGGACTTTAGAGATCATCTAGTCCTGCCCTGGGCAGGGACACCTCCCACCAGAGCAGGTTGCTCAAGGCTTTATCCAACCTGGCTTTGAACACTGCCAGGGTTGGGGCAGCCACAGCCTCCCTGGGCAACCTGTGCCAGTGTCTCACCACCCTCACAGCAAAAATGGAACTGAACTTGGAAGGACCAAATAGCCTTTTGCTGATGTCTTCGCTCTTTTTACATAAATTTACAAAACTGTGCAACTGAAAGGCAAAACCGAGTTGCAAATATCATTCTTCTCATACATAAAGAATTCAAGCTTTGGCAGCTAAGCCCTGTGCTACTGAAAGCAGAGACAGAGAGGAAGAAATGGCAATGACTGAGAATTCAGAGCAATTTTCCAGACTAGTTCAGGACCACTGACCTTTAATTTTGTCCAATAAAGCACATGCAGGGAGAGGACATAAACCCCAAGATTAGTACCTGTTGCTTTCTCCATAACTACTTAAACAGGAGAGAGCAAAGTAAGGGTATGTTTCCTCTCCAAAATGCAATTGAGAGAATTTGTTTTAGCTTTGAATGTGAACGAGCTCAGCTTAAGTGAGAAAATATGTTCCAGCAATTCCAAACTCTGCGATTTTAGCACTTTTTCATCCGAGTCATCGATAACTGGAGAGATATTTTGGCTGAAGGGACAGGTTGGACCGATGTCCTGGAAAAGTCAGACAAAAATACTGTGGAAATCATTCTAGAAAGTCATTGTTTTTTCTCCTTTTTGCTTACCACAGTGGCAATAAACCATTCAGATATCCTCAAAACAAAGCTATGGATTTTTAGCCCCTGATTTGTTTCACATGTAGCTTTTCTACCTAACCCTCCAGAAATAACAACTGAAAATCTCTTTCAAAGGGAATCTTTTTATTTCCTGAAACGATCAGCCCTAAGTAAAAATCAAACATGAATCTGCCTGTGCTTTACAGCCATTGGAGTTCCTGGATTTGAGAGTTTCATGAATTAATGCCTGAAGATTTTAAGCCTTCTGAGCCAAATCCACAAGACTGGTCTGCTCGTCACTGTTGCATAACTCCAATTATCAGAGACATTTTACTGAAGGGAAAGAATCTCTGTGTCCACTGCTACTTCTGTAAACACAGGCACTGGAAATCAATCACTCTGCATTCTTACAGCCTTTGGGTGAAAACATCCTTGCTGCTCACCCAGGTACAGCGAAAGGGCATCGACAAAGCCCTGCAGCTCTGCACAGCACACAGGATGGCTGTGCTGGAATTCACCAGGGCACAACTGGCTTTCATCAGCAGGGCAAACAACAGAACCCTCAGCAGAGCTGACAGTGGTGGGGGTTTGTCAGTCTCCTCACGTCCTGCTTTGTGTTTTGGCAAGGGACTGTCCTGTGCTGGCAAACTAACAGAGAATCCTGATCCAACACCAGATGGGGCTGAAGCCTAACTCTATTAGAGTGTCTTCAGACACAGCCGTGGTACCAGGGCTATCATATTTCATATGCTGACTAAATATGTTTCCAGACAAAGCTTTTTGCCAAAAAGCCAGTGCCAAAAGCTTTCTCTGTATGACCTAAGAGATAGAAAGTCTGCCACATCCAGATCTGCCCTAACTTTTAGCCTTTGTTTTATATACACAGAGTGAAATGCTTTTGAATATTTTTTGATCTTTCAAGGTTTGTTGCTTTGACACTTTGGGAGCCTATATATTGTAAGCAAAAAATGACATTAAGAAATAATTATCCTAAAACCAGAGAGAGAGAAAGAGGGAGGGAAGGAGCAAATACAAGGATTTTATACTCTGGTTAGCTCCTTCTCTTCATGTATTTAACAAACAAAAGGCGTAAATTTTTACACTAAAGGGACTCTAAACGAAATGTTTTCTTGAAAATTATATTTCTCCCTTACCTAAAAGCTCTGAACAAGCAGTTTAAACAAAAGAGTTAGGGCATGTGTGTGGGTTTAAAGATTTAACCAAGTGATATTATTTCTCTGAGACTGCACAAACTGCACTTGCTCTAGAATGCCATCACAAGGCAGACAGCCTCATGGTGTTCCAGGCTGAGCACTTTTTGCCAGGTAAAGCAAAAGGCAGCACTGAGACAGCTCTGCACTGCACACCTTCCTATGGCCACATCTGTATGTCTTACCACTGCCTGTGTTTCAGCATTCACTTGTTTCCTCACACACACCGATGCTGAGCAGCTTTCCCTAACCCAAAGGAATGCTGTGCTCAACATGTGAATGGGAACTGCAGGAAACTCAGCAGAACCACAGCACTCCAGTGGGAGTAACAACTGCAGCATGGCCACAGCTCTGTGCAAACACATCCCACGAGTTCTGCTGCAGCAATTTACCTTAACAGCCAAATACCTGGTGAGGTGTCTGTGTGACTGCAGCTGTGCAACTGCTACACAGAAAACACATGAGCCATGTGGAGGTATTTGAGGTCTTTTGCTCTTCAATGGCCAACAGAACTGGTTTAAGCACAACCACAATCCCTGAGATGCTTTTCTTGCAACAGAAGAGCCACTGACTTCCAGGGTCTGTGAACTCCAGCTGGGCTGGGGAGAGTTCCTGTCCATGCCCTGCCACTGCCTGCAGCTGCAGCAGAGAGGAAACAGGCACCTTCCAACAAGAGGAAATGGATCTTAAGAAAACAGCCCAGACAATTCCAACATTGTGCTGCTTTGGTTCTTTGGGACCAGCAGCACTCCTACGCTGCTTCAAATTAAATCCAGTGACCTTTATGGGGCTAAACAACCATTTGCATTCTAAAAAAAAAAAAAAGAAAAAAGAGACAGTTCCTTCCTTGCTGTGCAACTAAAAGCAATCTTTCTGCTGCTCTCCTCTCCCTCTAAAGAAAATACTTTTTCAACTACAGGTTCCCTGTTACGAGTGATAACTATGGTGAGAGCGACTGGGAGGGATACAGAACTGGGATCTTTGGGTAGGCTGTTGCTTCCAGGGCTGTCAGCAGCAGCTGCAGCTTGGCAGGGGGCAGCAGAGCCCATCGAAGGGAAGGAAAATGCACACAACAAGTACAAGAAAAAATCACCCTGGCTAGATTCCTGCCCTACTCTCCAAAACAAAGCAGGTCAAGAAGAGATCCTGGCAGTCAGTCACACATCAGATCTCTTCAGCTGCTAGTGATCAGGTATCTTTCCTTCCATAATTCCTCTCTTTCCATGACAGCTCTTGTACCTGCTGAGGAATGGGAATGTACACTGCAGAGCTCCTGGATCTCCTGGAGATCCTGGATCTCTGGGATGACAGAACTTATTTGAAGGCACTCAACCTCCACGAAATCAAGGCAATAACAACTGCAGATGTTACACACAAACCAGCATTAGGCTTCTGAAGAAAGTATGGATAGAAAGTAACATCCAGAGTGCAGTTCATCCCCGTATCTTTTATGTAAGTTGATGAACAGTTCTGTTCACAATTCACAATTTACCCAGGGAAACCACTGCAGTGCAGTGATGCTAAGGAGCTAAAATTCACCGAGTGAGTCAGTGCCAGGAACAAGTACAGACAGACAAGTTCTGCTCCCAACGTGTGCTGCAGATCGTGATGCTTCATTCACTAAACGCTTGAGTCAGCACAGATAATTTATCAGCTCTGAAGGCCAAATCACTCTTTGTGTAAACGAGCCCAGTGCTCCTTGTTTCAGCAGGTACACAACTGTGCTCAGCAGGGCTTGGCCTGGCCCTGGTCCGTTCAGATCACACAGACAGGAATGCAAAAGTGTGTTTCACTTTCCAGGTCAGAGGGAGAAGATGACAGCTTGGGAGCTGCAGTGCAAGGATGAAGCAGGGCTCAGCTGAGATCCCCTCCTGTCAGGAAACTGAACCTTGCACTGCAATGCACAAGAGTTTCTGTGGCTCTTATTTGTTGACATCATCTTTGCTGAGTGCAGGAAGACAGTAATAAACATGCATTTCAGGCATTTTCCCTTTGTTCTAGGTAATTTCAGGCTGGCAGGTCTCCTCTGGATGCATGCTGGCTGAATCACAATGAAGGCCTTCTCCAGCAATACTTTATCCTAAAATAATCCAATTAAAAGGAACTTAATTGGTGTGCAACATTCCCTACAATTTCAACATTTTAAAAATGAATAGTCTGGGTAAGTACCAGATGGTGACATGCACTAATTAATCAGGACTGCTCAATGAATGAGCAGATGAAATGAATGCACCTATTAGACATGTGTTTGCAATGCTGTGTGCTGCAAAAATCTCTCCCCAGATGACTGCTGAGATATTGCTGAGCAGCACAAGTGTGAGCTTCAGTGCTAGCAATCCCAACTCCAGTGCTCTCTGCTCTCATCACCAGATACTGGTATAGGTTGCTTTGGTTTGTCCTCCTGCAGGGAAAAGCCATTTGTCTCCAGCATTGCTGTCCCTGAAAATGGGGCTGCAATGTTTATGCTGCAGAGTGAACTGCATTGATCAGAGTTCTTCGGCAAGAGGCCAGTAAAGTGCTACTGCTCAGCCCACAAACCTCTCACCACTGACAGGCATGTCCTCAGACTGAAAAAATCAGCACTGCAAATCCAATCTGGGTTTCCTATATGGGAGTGCCCAAAGGCCACAAAACCACCACGGCTTTGTGGTTTGTCTGAAGCACTTAGAGGCATCTGGACAGTCACTGATCATCTTAAATGATAGTGTGAGTCTAATGAAGAGGAATAAAGGGATGGATATTCTTTGCCAGAATCTGATTTCTGT